TCTCTCTCTCTCTCTCTCTCTCTCTCTCTCTCTCTCTCTCTCTCTCTCTCTCTCTCTCTCTCTCTCTCTCTCTCTCTCTCTCTCTCTCGAGGATTGCTGGGCTGGTGCGAGTAAACTCGACCACTTTTCTATTCCAGGGGTATCTCAGGAATGGGTATCGCTAACTCTGGGCGATGTGGTGAGTCCTTCCTTATCCATCAGTCAAATGCATCCTGGGCAGACTGTCTGTCCAGGTTCAAACTCCCGATGAGTCGGTGCAAGTCCTACCAAACAGTCTGGCACAGTCATGTTTTTGTTAGTGTATAGCGAAAATTACATCACACACACACACACACACACACACACACACACACACACACACACAAACATAGAAAGGGGGGCGGGGGGCGGCGGGGGGAAGTAACAAAGCTGACAGAAGACGAGGGGAACAGAGAGAGACAGAGCGAAACAGTTCGAGATGCAACCGTGGAATGAGAAGAAGACGAGGAGGGCAGGATGTCATGATGACAAGCAGAGAAACAGCGAGGCTCGGAGAAGCTAACCTGTCGTGCACGCCACACCTGCCTTCCTCGTCACAGTCCCGATCAGGATCTCTACTCCATTCCCCTCACAGCTGGGGTGCGCAATGCGAGCGCGATCGGATCTCACGGGTGATGCCACAACGCCGACTGCACCGTGCCAGGGTCCGACGAAAAGAGATCCGTCACCTGGACGCCTACCGTCTTCCCCCGAGTATAACGCACCCTAAAACTGAATGTATACAAGCTATATTTCCGGCCAGATCCAGCCAGAAATGAGGGTGCGTTGTGTTCGGGCGAACACGGTAGGAGCCAGGTTCGGCCAGCCAGCAGTTGGGACGGATGATGGACGGGAGGGGCCCTCAGGCCCTCAGGGTTCGCCGTGGTTGGGTACACCGTGTCGCGGGATCTCCGTGCTGGGGTGGGGTGAAGTGCTCATCTTGGAGCTTCACTTTCACCCCAGCCCACTTAGCGTTATGGTTAGGTATTTGCCTGCCGAGTCGTTGGTTGTGTGTTCGAGTCTTGTATTCGGATTACACCTCACCCTTACAACAAAACAACGGCAGCTACGTCCACACACGGAACTGGAGGGTACCCCATACCCCACCAGTTATCGAGCAGTTGGGACGGATGATGGACTGGAGGGGCCCTCAGGCCCTCAGCCGCGGGTTTGAACCAAGCCTCTCAAACCAACAAAGCAGCGGCACCTACGTCCAGACATGGAACTGGAGGGTACCCCACCCCAGTTATCGAGCAGTTGGGGCGGATGATGGACGGGAGGGGCCCTCACGCCCTCACCCTCGGGGTTCTTTTTTGTTTTTGTTTTTTTTTTCGGGAAAAGGTAGAGGATCTATTATCAAAGTACAAAAAACTTTGAGGTCGAGAATCCTCAACAAACAACCCGGTGAGAACAGCCGGTAAACAGATTAGTCCAGGCTAGTTGTATTGTTCCTGCTATTGAGCTCTCTGCTCTTCATACATCTACCTATCCAAAAAAACCGCCATAACATGAAGAAAAAAAAATTGTCTTACTGATCCATTTCCAGGTCTAACGCGACCTGAGTTACAGGGTAACCACCCCCAAATGACACTCCATCCACTAGACCACCGACCTCAAACGCGACCAACCAAACTAAACAACAAGAACCCACCAAAACAAAAGACACAGAAAATCAAGCACTGTCTGTCCCTGCCTGCCTCTTGCGGCTACTTATAACCGAGTGCCCTGGTATTAACTGATTCTTACTACTTCAGCCATGAGCAGAATTCCAACTTACAATCCGTGTTTACTATAACCAACCAGTTGGAATTTTTGCCCCAACCGCAGGTCCTGAGAAACCACCTGAACCCTTTCCCAATCGCCGTCCTGCTGCTATTCCTAATATTCCAATCTGCTTTTATGTACTGTCTTAGTCTCGCACAGATGCACACCTTGATCTTAGTGTCAGAGGTACCTTTCCCTTGAAACACCGCTTTGTTCCTGTTGTCCCAGATTACTGAGCAAATAATTGCTCTACATGCTTGGACAACATATCCACAACCTTCTGTCGGTTTGACGTCCTCTGGTAGGATTCCCAGTAAATCCCAGTTGCGGTCCCATACCCAGTTCCATTATGAGAAATCCTTCCAGTGCATTGCCCACCACTCCCATATCCTCCTTGAGGCTGGGCAATCCCACTGTAGATGGGAAGTGGATTCAAAGGGCCACGTGCAACGTTTGCAGGCCAGTTGCACTTCCATCCCTTTCCCTGCTAGCCAGACTGCAAAGGGGGTAACCAAAAGGGATAGAAGCCACAGTATTGCAGCGTGTCTCTCGGAAGGTAGTATCCCTACTGTGCCCATAATCGTTTCATGGATTTTTTTCTACTTTTGCCAACAACCTGGCAGACCATGGTAAGGATTGAGGAACGTCCCCATCCAATTTCTGATCACAAACTAGTGATTGTCTCTCTTAACTCCAGCAAGTTGGGGCATGGACCAGGAGTAAACACTCAAATCTGAAAAAATCCCGGTGTTGTGGATTGGATGCGTGAATTTTGGGAGGTTAGGAAAGCAAACTTTAGTAAATTTAATTTCAAAGATGCATAGTGGGATGCTGGGTCGCGGATTTTCTCAAAGCACGTGAGTATCGTCTCTCAAATTCTTGATGTAGAGAGGAAATCCAAGGAGAGGTCCATGATCCGCAAAGTGGAATACGCATAATATAGGACGAGTCTTTATCTTGTCTTTAACTTGGGCTTGAGTGTCATTAGGGAAAAGTACTTACTGAGTGGGACTTGTACAGGAACAGTCGGATATTGGACAGAGCGACTAAAAGTCAAAGGAATTGCGATATATGATCACATGACAAAATACTATTTTTATAAACTACTGCTCAAACGCTGGACTCACCCTATGAGTAAACTCACTCAGCTCTTCTCATAAGACCTTCCACTCGCGCGAGATCAAAGTCACTTGTGCACATGTGCGGCTTTATATTACCAGAACATCCTAACAACTAGGGGACTCAAAGAAGACATTACGGAAGACCTCTCCGAGGGTTGTCAGCATTTGGATGCCTTCACAACAAAATTACCACCTCAGGGTAGATTATACCTTGACCGTCCAATCACCATCGATGAAGCATGGGAAGCCCTTCGAGTTATGGCAAAAGGTAAGGCATTGGGAGACGATGACCTCTCGGTCGAACTCTATATCATTATCTGGGATGTGATTAAAGACGAACTGATGAAAATTTACAACCGGGCTTTGTTGGGAGGGAATCTTTCTATGAGAATGAGGAATGAGTTAATCTCCTTGTTGTATACAGAGCTCAAAGTAGAAAGTGGCATCTCATTTTAGTTTTGAATGTCTCCTATAAGTTACTCGCTAAAGTCATAGCAAGAAGGTTGGGTCGGTATTTACCATAGTTGGTTGAGATTGACTATGGAGCATTCGTTCAAGGAAGTTCGATATTTAATATTATCATTACAACTATCAAATTTTTGAAATTGCTACAGAATGAAAATGCTAACACGCGTCATGATGCTCGATTTATAGAAAAACTTATGATTGAGTAAATTTGACGTATGTGCTCATCATCCTGCGCCAACAGAGATTTTGAGAGAATCTTTGTCATTGGGTCGCCGCACTGTACTCCCTCTCAACCGCATCGGTTATAGTTAATGGTAACATATTGGAATCCTTTCGTCTTACTTACTCTCTTCGCCAGGGATGTTCCCTAGCCCCATTATCGGGCGCATCGGTCCGGCACCGCACGTGGCAGCACGGGACCCTCTCGGCCGCGTCACGCAGGAGTTGGACCAACCTTGTCGCGAACACACAAATGGAGCTTCCTTAGGACGCTCCGACCGAGTGCGCCAACCATACCTCTCGTGAGCCCCTACGACAGGATAGGGCCTACGCGAGACATAACTTACCTCCACCTTACGGGAGCTGTCACCTCCCTTCGGTGGGCGTATCCCCGCCGAGCTACCAGTCCACAGTACGAAAGCTACTCAGTTGCAATCACAGAGATGGACCAGACGAGGGCGTTTCTCGTTCGCTGTAGCATAGGGGGTACGTGCGGTAATACGCCTATCGGATCCGCACGCGAACCGACATCTTGGGGGGCTGAAGTCCCAAGCGCGGCTCGTCGTCGGTCGACTAGGACGCATCCCACACACCACGCGCACACCACTCTAACAAACACAAAAATAAAACACACACACACCGTGACGCACATACAACATGACACAATACAAACAACGCGACAATGCTCCTAGCCCCTCAGTAGCCAACCCATAACTTTCCAATGTGGAAATCGAATAGGCGTCGCGCGCGAGACTCGGTATAAACCGCGTGGTCGCAGGGCTAACTCATATCGACTCGCAATGCGAACGTACGCAAGCAGTCGCAATGATGGTGTACTATGTAGTACCCATAATCGTGCGGTCCTCGTTAATCTCAAGGGTCGCATTTGACGCTCAAGTGTCGGCTGACACGCGCCTTGAGGGTTAATCTCTCGACGCTGGACAACCGCCATGCGCGGTTGAAGACCACACACCCTCTTCTGCACTCTGTGCACAGTGGGTGGTACACAGGTCCATATCTGTGGTGACAATCGCTTCTTACTATCCTAGAGATGAGTCACACTCCGGGCCTGGGCGAAAGTCAAGGGGTTTGACTTTGACGGTTGTCACAGGCTACAACGTCCAGTCATACAAACTCTAAAAAGCAAGGGTAAAAAGGGAACCTCCCTTCCCTCTCGAGACATAATCCAGTTAACCCCTATTCACACTCACAGTAGGCCTCTCAAATACTCAAGGCACTTATAAATACGTAAGAATTGATTATATAGGACGATCACTTCTCACAGTCACAGTGAGGCTCCTCTCAGCTATATATGTATGAAATCGCAGGCAGTCACATCCAGAGTCTGAACCACAACCATACCTGCAATCACATCAAAGATTCAACCAGAAGTCCACGCACTACACGGGTTCAACTTCAACCATTCCTCGCACGCATACCCCTCGCTTTAGTCATACAAGCCTCACTCGTGCAACTCTTTAAATAAATACTCAGTACTTTTGTTGGATGACCATTCAATAAAGTCTGGGTGAAAACACAACAAAACAGTTCAATCACAAGGCTAAAGCCTTTAGGTTGAGTGACAGGAGTGAATTGGAGTTGAATCGTAAACCGACGAATCGGCAACCGACCGGTTATCAGTGATAACAGAAGATGATCCTCGTAGGATCAAGATGAAACTAGTCCAAGTCCATCGAAGTCCGAGAAAGGCCTGTACCATAAGACAGGTCAATGCCCAAGCTAAATCATTAGCATATGGGGGATGAACCTCCATAGCACATTCTCATTCAAAGTTACCTGCCAACTAAGTCTAAGCCTACCTCTAAGCCAGTGCCCAAAGCAAAGGTAGACTAATGGCAGAATCTCCCCTATTCAGGGTGGATCATCAGAATCGTCACCTGTCAAAATATAATCTATCTCCTTTAAACTAAGAAAATTTCGGCAGCGCTTCCCTTAAGAAAAGTGTCTTTTCAGAATTTATATCAGCCCAAATATGAAACCAAAAATAATCTTTGACTTTCCAAAGTCCAATTTTGTCTAACTCCCTGAATTAGCAAAAAATTGGGCAGCACTCCCTTTAGAAAATGAGACTTTTCAAATTTTTACGAAGTCATATATGAACTTTAGACAAGTTGAATTTTGATAAGTCAAAAATTGACTAATTCTTTTGATTTGCAGAAATTTCGGCAGCGCTTCCCGTAGAGAAAGTAGCTTACAAAAATTTATACAAAACCAAGTATAATAAAAGATCCCAGAAAAAGTGAGAATCGATCTAAGTAAAATAAACTTAGCTAAGAAAATGCAGAAATTGAAACTAACTCCTATCGCTCTAGCACGAGGCGAATCTCTAAAGCAACTACCTGTCTACCTAA